GACAACGTGACAGGGTAATGTAATGTGTGTGTAGATAGTGAGTAATTGAACTGCAGTCAGAAGTATTGTAGACGTTTGTTTAGCGCGATTGTTGAAGTTGAGTGTATCGGTAAAGTTATATTCGGAAAGAATAAACCAGTTTTATTAAGTAAAGACTTGTGTCGTTAAAGTTTCGTTGGAACGAAGTTACGGAAAAATCAATTAGCAAACGGAGACGTAACAGTATTTTTTTATTTAGGGCCACCGAGAAAACGCATGACACAATCTGATTCATCGTCTGTTTGCATAATTTACGGTCGTTTTAACATTATAAATCAACTAGAATATACGTTCTGCACATATAATAAACAATACAATGCAAGAAACTTACCATGTCCAGTTTATTTTTTTCTCACTACTTCAACAGTATGTATCATCGGTCACTAACAAATTTCTGAGAAAACCATACATTATATGAGGGCTTATATGTACCACTTATAAAATGGCAAAATTTACTTTTTAAAACTTTTTTAATTTCCCCAACTTAGATTTTTCTAGACTTTTGATATGTTGATCATGAAATATAGTTTTACATTATTCTTGCAAAAAATTCTGTTGCAATTAGTTTGATGTTGAAATGTAGACTGACTGGACTATGTTGGATATACAATACTGTTCAGTTTCGGTATTATTATTTAGTTTATTTAGTGGTTTAATATTTAATTACTATTTAGTTTTCATAACAAGAGTGTTAAAAGTTAATTATTTTAAAAGTAATAGTTATGACAAGTTTTGTTATGTAACTCTGTACGAGTCTAGGTTGTGTAAGTAGTTTAATTGTTGTATTAGGGTTTTGTAATATTGTTGACGTCATCTTATTCAAAGCTTATAAGTCTTTTTCATTATGTTTACTGTAGTTGTTACTAGAGGACTAGTTATTTCTAGATTTTTCTGTTGCGTGTTATAAATATGTGCAGATACAGAGCTGAAGCAAGGTAAGTTATTAAAAGTGAAGTTAGACTGCGTGATCGTCAGTTTAGCCGTAACGGGCGATTTCTAAAGTGAGTTTCACAGTTTGTATTGTAACAACAGAGATAGAGAATAATAATTTGTTTTGTCAAAGGGTGTTCTAAAATAACCGAACCTGCCTGTGTGGACTTTGACGAAAAGGATACCATTATTTAAAACTCTAAATACAACTGTGGTAACCAACAGTTATAGTGGTGATTTTTAAGTGTGTTTCACAGTTTGTATTGTAACAACAGAGATAAAGAATAATTCGTCTTGTCAATTGGGTTCTACAGTAACTGAAGGAAAAGGAAAATAAACATGCAATACTAAAAAATATGTAGACTTTTTTTTTTCAACCTGAATTACACCTTATGCACATAATTGGGCATGGGCTTATCGACTAGGTCAGAGCCCCCCGTAGCCAACCATAGTTTTGAGCTTCATACCACAGTGAGTAAAAACAGTTAGCAGAACTCTTTACCTGAAACGAATGCTTTTATCTGAATAGTGGGGTTGACTGTCTTTCTTTTAACGCATCCACAGCTGAAAGTGTGAAGCGTGTTTGATAGTATCAGGTTTTGAACCCAAGGTCCGCGGCCCACTAGGTCATGCTTTGACCAGCACATACTGAATAGGAGGTGGGCGTGTTAAAAATGGTTCATAATAGTTAAACCTTAAGAATAATAACTGATGAGACAAAACTATTAGTAAAATTTTATGTCCATATTTCAATATTTTAGCAATCCCTTTGAGTAGAAAAAAACAAACATGGATTATTGTGTGAGTATATATATGAATATATAGCAAAAAATATATATTGAATAAAATATTGAACCCCAGTACTGTAATAATAATTTACCTATACTAATATCAAAAAGTACACTAAAATATACCATTAACTGATGACATTAACAAGGTGGTAAGAGTTAGCTCCTTTTCCGTTATTTTTCTATCTAAATTTTGCATATGGGCGTATATTCATAAATAAAAGAACAAATAACTACTTTAATTTTAGTAAAATTATAAACGACTTGACTAGAAATAGTAATGCGTAAACAAAATCAAATCATTGTGCTTCCCTCTATGGATCCATCACCGAACTTTGATTAAAATAATACCCTCAAACTTACAATTCATATTCAGTTCATTTGAACTGGGAAATCTTCAAATATATGCAATTAATGAAAATTAATAAAAATGTTACTAACACTGTGTTATTCCTCATTATCTTATCAGAAACTACTTAGTACAATTCAATTTAATCAATTAAAAAAATGACGTCTTAAAAAGTTATAGGTAATAATTTTGCTGCCAGAAGTCCAAAAAAAAGATTACAAATTAAAGTATCTGTTTTCATTTTGCTTGACATAAAAATATCTATCTAATGCCATAATCAATTAAATACTTAGTTCTTTTAAAGTAAAAATAAAAATGTTTGTTTATAATCAAATTTCTATTGTTGTTAGCAGTAATCTCAACTATCCGTCCGTGGTATTTTAAAAGAACACCTTAGACTTCATTGTATTATTTACCTTTTATTTTTTGACATGAATGGTACTAGCAGGGGTATTTTTGTGTCAACTTTTCTAACTCTAAGACACTGATGTTCAAAACTTTCTCCTTATTTTAAACAAAAATTATTTCGTGATTCTTATTTCTCGTATTTATGTTTAAAAATAACGATGAAAAATATTTTATAACGTTATCACCAAAAAATATCCTCTAACAGAGCATAATTTATGTGCGTAAAATGGCGACTGCTGCTGTTGAAGATGATGAGGCTTGGTTGTATGGAGAATCTGAGGAGAAGAAAGACGGAACAGGAGTTGTGGCAGATGAAAGTTCGAAATCCATTCTAATTGACGATTCTTTAAACGCTACTGACCTGAGTTTACAAGTACATACTATTATTTTGTTTATACTTTTCGCTTTCATTCACCATCAAGCATTAAGTTAATCATAATGCTAACACTAACAGCACTTGTTAACTTAGCTCTTGGTTGTTTAGGCCTAATATTAATACTAGAACTAAGTTACTCACTAAGCCTACTTATGCTGTAGTATACTAACATTAGGTTTAATATGGTACACTTATAGCTGGAGTAAACGTAAGTAAATTCCCATTATACATATATATATAATTTTTACTGAATGTCTGTCTCTTTAAGTTACCTTGCAATTTTACTGTTGCGATTTTTATTAACACTATAGCAGTACCATATTTGCAAGTGCCATTGTTACTCAGATTTGAACTTTGAAGTCAAAAGTTATTATACATCTTAAAAACTTAGAAAGTACCACCAGACGTTACAATACAAGCATAGCACTACTAGTCCTACTAATATATCAGTAATGAAGTAAAATTTTGTTTTACTTTATCGTAACAGTACTACATGTGACTCTTGAATTGTTACTGTACTAATACTAGTAATCGTAATATTATTCTGCACTCAAAATGGCTAAATATCATTAATAATAGGGGGGGGGGTCTTTGAATTTCAAATAGTGAAACTAACAAAAAAAACACCATTTCGTAATTTACACTGCAATATGAATTATTTATTTAATAATTGATGAACAACAACTAATAATCGTATCTATAAATTGACCTTTTGCATCATGCAATGTCTAACTGAAACAATGTAAATAAAGTTGCTTTATCTGGTAACCTGAGACATTTTGTGAAATTTGTGATGAGGTGAGATAAATTTTAACCCTATTAAAATACTTCAATTCAAAACTTATACAATTGAATTTATATCATATTGATAAATGAAATGAAAACTGTCAACAACCAAATGTTAAAATCAAGTACAAACTTACATATTTACCTATTAAAATAAAAAAGAGATTCTGTGTTCAATTGGTTTCATGACTGACAGATATGTACCTGTTATGATGTAAAGCAAACTGTTGTCAAGGCAACATATTGTCAGCTTACAGTTCTAATTCATATTTTTTCATGACATGCTGTCAGTTCAAATTGTGCACACACATATATGTATATCAACTTATCAATTATCAAATAAAGAGCACAAAGTTTACTATATGGCTTTGTTTTTTCAAATTAAATGACCAATAGGCATTTATTAATGATTTTAAAGTTTTCTTTGTCTGTTTTTAAATAGAAAATTCTTCTGGATACAAAAAACACATACAACAATGAAGAGAGCTATCATTTGATATGTCACTGGCTCGTACTGGCCAAGCACCCATTCTCTGATGCCCTGTTTTTGGTACTAACATTCACCCATTGGTTGCCACTAAATGGTGGAGGAATGTTTAGCGATCGTGGCAATATTATATGTAGCCAATTTCCAACTAGTTGGAGTAAAGTTGCCTTGAAATAAACATTGTAAACTCAGCATGTAAAAGCACTGTAGATGTTTTTCATTTGTTGTTTAGTGTACAATAATTTAGTATTTTGATTATGGGAGATTTATATATTTGCAACTGTGACTTTGCACTCGAACACTTCTGTGTCTTAAAACTATAATTCTTTGGGAATCCCTATTAATACTAGTTATCCTTCGATTATAAATTTTAGCCTCGGACACTTGTAACTTAAGTTTATATTCTAAAATGAAAGAAATGACTAAATTCAAATACTACCGATTATAACAAAGTGTGCAAAGACGTGATAGATGCTGTTTCCCTGGCAGGCTAAACTGGTCCTTTAAAATCATTTACTATCAATAGAACATTTTCTGATGTGTGACTGTGGCATAAAATATTTATTACGGTCAATTCAATTATTTCTTGTCTGTAATACATCTTTCCAGTTTTTTTTAATGCAAAACAAATGGTTCAATTATAGTTTATTTTGTACAACATAAAACAATTACAGTTTTTGATATGAGTACATTATTACTGTGTGATTGGTGTAATATCACTGATTAGTAACCTTTGACATTTGTTTCATGAATGAAATTGAACAAATTCACAATTTTTTTTAAATCACTTAAAAAAGCATAAATAGAAGTTAAGTGAATGCCTCTAAATATTTTTGCTTGATTAAATGTACAATGATTTTTAAATTTAATATCAAGATAAGCTTTGTCTTACTGTTCTGTAACCCTTCCCAATATAGCACTTACAAACAACAGTATGGACATTCACCAGTAGATTGTGAAATATGTACATTATATATATGTTAACTCATGTAATACATTTAAAAGATTCTAACAGGATACGAACTTGACATTCACATTAGGTCTCAACATATGATGGAGGTAGATAATGTATAGTTTAATAAGCATATTTATCAAACTATACAAGATTTCTTGTATTATTTTTACTGTACATTTGTCAGTTTTATTATACACAGGTATCTTTTTCATTTTGTTTTCATGACACTAATAGTAATAATTTAACAGCAAAGCCCTTTAAGTTTTAATGAACTTTAACTTGAAAGATGTTCCTATTTGAACTCAGTTGGTGTTCGACAGTCAATCTTTATAGCTTTGGAAGCTCATAATGTTGCTAAGTCCAGTTAATAACCATCAGCATTATTATTTAATGTCTCTATTTTATTTTAGATGTTATCATATCAGGGATAGAAATAATGAAATAATAAACTACATTCACTCAAAGGAAAGCTGTCAGGAAGATTACGTTCCCTCATGTAAAGTTGTGTTTCCTCATGAATTTTTTTTTTTTTCATTTAATCCATGCAATATGTTCACTTTAACTGATCATAACTAAAGGAATACAGATGGACTATGCATTCCTGATCGGGAAAGCCAACCAAAAAGATGAAATTCCTCGTACAAAATTAAGGTCCTCAGGAATGTAATATTTTGATCCCTGAATGTTCATTTACTTTGTTAATAACTGTAACATGTTTAAAATCAACAAGTATGCACAATCGTGTCCCTTCTTTATTTTCATAACATTTAGAATACAAGAAATTTCTATCAAAAGCACAAGACTAATTAAAGTATGCATTAATTCACAGCAATCATGACAGTTAAAAGAACATTTGTATCTAACATGAAGGAATGAAAGATATGATGTGTTAGTGCAAATATAGCAGCAACAACATGCAAGGTACATAAATGTTCAAGTTCAGTGTTTAGGAAAAACATTAGATGTTTTGTTGAGTTATATCAAAGTGCTGTTACTCTGTAGCTTTCATCTTATTTTATAAGACAGAATTAAAACTTCATTAACATTACTGTCAATAATTGTTTTACTTTCCTGTGCCAGAGTTGAAATTTTTGTGTATATTAGTTTAATGTGATTAATTAAAAAACCTGGTACATCACTCACCAGTTTATAAGTAAGTTTACAGCCAAGGTTCTTTTCCATACGATGACAGTACATTGATTTTAATTGAAAGAGTTTGAGGATATCTGAACTTGATAATATTTTATAGACCCCTCTGGATCAAACCCTTACATGTTCATATGGTTGGCAAGTCTATTGTAGCAAAGGAAAAAAATATTCTGCCTTGTGCCAGAATAATTGCCATTAGTGGAGGATAGCACCTTACACGATTGTAGGAGGGGGAATTGATGTTTTCATAAATTAAATTTTTTGTATGAGTGGATATGCAAGGATAGTCTTGAAGGATCAAATGGGTCCTTGTTGTCCATTTGTTATACTAAAGTTGTAGCTGTAGTTTACTTCTTGAAAACTTGATTAGAAGATTTCATTGTAGATCTTTTAATGAAATAAAAAATAGAAATTAAATTGTTCAGGATATTTATTTGTAATTCAGTTAATAACTCCTGATCAGAGCAAGCTGTGTTCTTAGAATGAACTAAAGAATCGACCTGGCTATCAGTATAGCTAATTAAATATACTTATGTTTCTGCTTATAAAGATTAGAATAAAATTGTGCCCTTTATGTTAACCTTATTTTTGGCCATGTTACTTTTGGGCTCGTATATTGTCAAAACCGTGTTCTTTTTTTTGTTTATTGGTAATACAGATTCAAGAACACAATGACAGAGAAGCAGGAGAGTTAAGTGGGGAAGAAGAAAACAGAGAGCAAGATGAACAAGGACCTCCTGGAGTTGAAAAAGAAGATGGAGATGAGGATGAAGAAAGTGATTCAGATGATGATGATGTGCAGGTGATCTATTTTTCTTTACTTTAAAAGAATTATGTTTATGCACATATTGACAGGAAAAGTTCCATTTTCAGTTATACAATTTATGACAATTTTTTGTTCAAAATAATTACATTTAATAAATTCATACATTTTTAATGCACTTTCAGCAATTAAAAAACAAGAAATTAATGTTTTAAACTCCGATCCTGGTTGTGTTCTGCCAGTAATGTTTATTACATAGAGTAACAGATTAAACTTTTAATTATTATTTTTTTCCACAGGTAACTATAGGAGATATTAAATCTGCACCTACTTATGGCTATGGAGGACCACCTGTTAATCTCAACATCAAAAGAAGTGGCGTTAGTGGTGCAGGAGCCAAACCTAAAGGTATCGACCTCGATGCCGTTGGAACCATCAATGGTGTTTCGATATACGAGTTTAACCTTGACAGTTTAGAAGAAAAACCTTGGAGAAAACCTGGTGCTGATATCACTGATTACTTTAACTATGGTTTTAGTGAAGAGACTTGGAAGATTTACTGTGAACGACAGAAAAAATTCAGAACTGATGCAAGTGCATTGAGCAAGGTGAGGTCATTGTTAGCTGAGTAGTTCGGGTTCATCTCTTGAATTGTTTCGTTAACTTATTTAGTGCACCATTTTAATATACCAGGATTTTATTTATATATACACACACAAATTATACCTGTATTATGAGCTGTAAAATGATTTTGAAGAATCAAGTTAATTTTGGGTGTCTTTGTTTATACCATTTGTAATTTGCTCTTATGCTGCTTAACAATATACTGAAGTTTATTCATTTTATTGTAAAATATATGGTTGATCTTCTTTTACATGTAGAAAATTATAAATGTCCAAAAGATAAAACTAAGAAGTAACTGATGTACATTTAAAATTAGTTGTACTGTTATCAAGATGGTTTGCTTAGGGTTTTGTTTTCTTGGAATGTAAGTCTACTGTAATTGTGAATAAAACAAATTTTATAATCATAAAATAAACCATGTTTAACAAGCAACTTAGTATTTTCATTTTTCAAAATAAGATTGCAAATTTTGTGTAAAGAAGTTTGTTTTTTTTGTGTGTATTTTTTATTCTCTAGGCTCATCCTGGTTTAGTTAAAGACCAACAAATTCCTACAGCCACAGTGAATGAAAACAGTAAATATGCAGGAATGAATGCAGGTGTCAAGAAAGCAGGGCCTCCACCAGGAAGAAAGATGTCTGGAAGTATTGATGTAATTGGTGGAGGTACACCATCATTACCAAGCCGTAGGCCAGCGAGTAACACTAAGGAAAATGTCATTACGGTAACTTGTGCTTTTTTATTTTAAGATCAATAATCTGTGCTTTATTTTGAGGTGCTTATGTTTACTTATGTAGTTGTGTCAGACCCAAGTGTATATTATTAATAACTTGTGATCAAAGCTTGCTACCTATGTAGATAAAAAATAAAGATTAACCCTGTAAGTAATGTAGCTAATTTGATCTACTAGTCTTAACTAGGAATGTGCAGAGTTATAAAACAAAACTTATGATTAAAATGCATTGATTCATCATTAGGATTCCCTCTCTTTAATCCTAATAGCATCCCATGTGGGGTTCAGCCAGATTAGAATATTTAGGTTAGTCCTAAATTCATATACTAATATAATGATGCAAAATGAACCTCGTAATAAGTGTATACAGGGATTTCATTAACTGTATGTGCATGAGGGAGGAAATGTGTCATGTAGGCAATAACTGTTAACATGTCATTATGTTTTTCATGTCAGATTTATGAACTATTCATTTCACTCTACATTACTGATTTAGCGATAGTTCGTGGTATAGGAGAGTAAATACCAGGTACAGTATACGGAGATACTGAAAAAACTGTAAATATGTGTTTTGGAAGTTCTAGAGGTTATACAAATGTGGTACACAAACTCAAACTGCACAATGGATAAAAGTATGATGTTGTCAATTCACAGAAATATCTTGAGTACAAATACATTTGTAACATCTAATTATTTGTGTACAACAGACTTGTACATTATACTAAAAACCTGCCACCTTTCTTGTAGATACACATACTTTCTCCAATACAGGGTCAGTAGACTGAACTCAAACCTTCTACAATTTGCCTCGAAATAATACAATAAAGATTTATCTGGCCAAGCCTATCATTTGTTTTTCTTTTAGGGTTATGTTTGACCATCTATTTTTGTAGTTTGTAAGAGTTAATGTTCTTTCACCATTGAATGCTTACATATGTGGACTTGTTTTTCTATTGTCACCTAGCAAACAAGTGTGGTTTAGCTGTTCCATTTCAGCAGGAGCCAGAGGTTGTTTATATTAACTATATTTTCAGTAGTTTCCAATACACAATGCTAGATGTACTTTATGTAAATAGGAATCCCAGTTCTGACCTGTGACAAAGGAAGAGTCATTGATTGTTTAGCTGGAATTATAGGTGGGGTAAGACTACAAGTATTATACAGTCATCCTTCATTTTATTGGGACTTCCCTACCTGTTTATACTTTTTTGATTAATAATTTAGTTTTTTGTTGTAACTGAATAGTTTTTGTTCTTCTTTAGGTTATGACAGGACGAAAAGGGAATTTTGAACCACCACCTCCAGGTATTCCACCCCCAAATCTTCACCTTCCACCTCCACACTTACCTCCTCCTTTTATGATTCCTCCACATGATGCTAACCTAAGTGTACCACCCCCTCCAGTGCCTCCTCCAGGCATACCTCCTACAAACATACCTCCACCGCCACCAGGCACAATAGCTAACATCAGTATACCACCATATTCAAAGAGTTTCGAGAGTAGCTATGGGCCACCACGGTTTCCACCACCACCACCACCACCTCTCAGTCAAGGGGTAACGTCTTTCACTAATCACACAAATTTTTATAATGGCGGACAAACACCTCAGCATACGGGACTTACCACAGAAGCTCCATCTAACCAACAGAGTTGGAATAATTCCCCTCGAGAGAAAGATAGAGAACGGGAGAGAGATCGCGAACGAGAAAGAGAGAAGGAAAAAGTGAATGAACGTGAAAGAGATAGGGATCAAGAACACAGAATGGGATACAATTCCTACGAATACCGTGAATTTGAACGTTCAGAAGACGACTATGAAAGAAGGCGTTATCGGGAACGAGATTATCACGAACGGTCTCGTGACAGAGAAAGAGATAGAGATAAGGAGAGAAACTGGGACAGAGAACGTGAGGAGAACCTGAATTATGTTCGTGAGCACACTCGAGAACGTGATAGAGATAGGGAGAGAGAGAAAAGACACAGGGAACATCGTGAGCGGGAGGAACGCCATCGTGAACGCTCTTCTCGGAGACGTCATCATCGCGATGAAGATGAAGAACATCGTTCATCCAGACACAAACATAAGCGTTCAAAACGAGAGAAAGAAGAAGAAAGTGCCGGTAGTGAGATTACTGACACAGCTAGTGTAGCACAAGATGGAGAAGAAAAAACTGAATAGAAAAAAATCCCAATAATATATTCGTTTCGTCAGCCAAATGAAGAATACAGTTTTCATCTTGGTGGAAACACTTTGTGCCCAAGCCTACTTTTCTCTGAATTATGCGGATGGGTGATTAGTTTGAAGTCGTTTATATATATATGATTGTATTATGTTTTGTACAACCATTAGTAATGTTATATAAACAGTACACTTAGAAGAAAAATGACTACTTTTTTTTTTAGAAAATTACCATTTTGTGTTGTGTAACTGAATGTGTGAAGTGAGCAGAGAAGAGTTAATGAAAATGTATGTTCTGAAGGTCATGATATCTGTTTGTTTTTAGTGTGATGAGTTTCGTTTTCTACCTTGAGGGATTTCGTTCACGTTTTCCGTTTCGTAACTGTTGTACATGTAATCGACACCTAGTGGCAAAAACATGAACTCTTACAGTAATTAAAATTTTTGTAACATTACGAAGCAGCTTTGTTACTTAGATTTTGCAAGACATTCTTTTTTGAGGGGTTTCGTTACTTTATATGACAAATTGTAATTAATGTTCAGTTTATTAAAACATGTTCTACACAACTGATAAAAAAAAATATTTTAAAAAACGTGCGTGTATTTTTGTAAGAATCAACATTTTTACTTGAAAAATAAAGTAGATTAATTTTAAAATATCCAAACACTGAGTAACCAATATAGCACTTTTTGGGGAGACGTGGCTGATCCTCTCCTAGATAGTAACTGAGAATTCACTGCATTCTTGTGGAAGTTATTATATATATATATAATAGTAGGCTTGTCACCAACATATTTCAAGAAAGATAAATCCTTTTAAATTTTGTGTTTCTCTGTGGGCATATGAAAATACGACTACATTTTACTTCGAACTAGTTTTATTTGCTTGTAGTTTATTTGTTTAATGAGATGTGTTTGTGTATAGAATTAAAATTACGTTAAACGTTTGATGAGAAACTTCAAGGGAACAAAAAATAATACTTAAACACCCTGGACAATGTTGAATGACGAAAATTAAAGGTACAATTTCCAGTAAAGCCAAACTTCCTTTTTTTAAATATATTTACTTTCAAATACTAACGTGAAACAGTTCTCTCTTCCCACTTGGATATTATAAATTTTAAACCAAATTAAATCATTTTTTTGTTGATGTATCCATGCAGTTCAAAAAACATGGTTCCATGTTATACTGTGATTAGCCGAGAGTTACACGTGCAGTTCAAAAAACATTGACCCATGTTATACCGTGATTAGCCGAGAGTTACACATATAGTTCAAAAAACATGGTCCCATGTTATACTGTGATTAGCCAAGAGTTACACGTGCAGTTCAAAAACAAGGGCCCATATTACACCGTGATTAGCCTGGAGTTATACGTGCAGTTCAAAAAATAAGGGCCCATATTACACCGCGATTAGCCTGGAGTTATACGTGCAGTTCAAAAACAAGGGCCCATATTACACCGTGATTAGCCAAGAGTTACACGTGCAGTTCAAAAACAAGGGCCCATATTACACCGTGATTAGCCTGATTGGTTTAAGATATAGGCTTAACAAAGGCGAAGTAAGTTTTCAAACTGGTGTCGTTTCTTTAAGCGTGATGAAAACAATTAGTTTTGTTTTAGTTTTTCGTCGCATTATTCAAAAGTATGTCTGATAAACAAAATTTAATCTGCGTGAATTTCATCAGATTCCTACAAGAAATTTAGTTTGTTTAACAAGAAAAAGTTACTAAACTTTAAGCTGCCATTTTGCAAGTTTTCGTGAGACTTCTCAATATAGACTAATTTGTTATTATTTCAACCGCTACTGACTTCGTGTACTATTTTCGTTTCTGCTAAGTAATTCTTTTTATTATTATAGTTATTTTCACGATAATCGCTTACAACATATAACAACCTTAAGATAATGCTGAATGAGGCTTAATTTTTACTGCTTTTGAAACTTCTATTTCCGTTCTCTGTTTAAAGCAGATATAAAAGTGTAATGTAATTCTATATGTAGATTGTCTTTCTATACCATTTCTGATATTTGTTTTCATACAGTGATATTACTATTATCTTTAAAGATTATAGGGAAAGAATGTTTCCATATTCATTTCTACTGTAATAATACTGGAAATTTGGTAACTCATTGTTATACTGAATTTGCTGTAATAGTTGTTTGTTTGTTTGTTATGGATTTCGCGCAAAGCTACACCAGGGCTATCTGCGTTAGCCGTTCC